TGGCCGATATTAGCAGCATCTCTCCCCTTCTGCGGTGCATTGGCCTTTTGCATGCCCCACTAGGCATTCCCAGTCCCAGGCACTTTCCTGCTTAAACTAGGCTGTCATCACCTTCCTCTTGGCCACCTCCTCCTCTTCTATTGCAGTCACTATCCTTTGTCAGATAAGGGCAGCATCAGAAATTGCTGCCTTTTTGTTCATGTTTCTTGTGTGAGCATCTTAAATCTATTTGTCACACAGACCCGCCCAGTGGTGGAAGTGGAGAGGTTTTGTGATGAGGAAACTGAGGCACAGAGAAGTGAAGTGATTTGCCCCGGGGCAATGCAGACACAAAGTGGCAGAGCGCTCTCTGCCACTCAGCCAGCTGCTCTGCGGGTGACTTTCAGCCAGGCTCAGCATTAGGCACAGCCAGCCCAAAAGTCAGACCAGCTGCAACGTGCCCCCCACTGTTTCCCTGTTATCTCTTCGCATCCCTTTGAGAGCTGCATCCTGCACCACTTCAGGCCTAGCAAACAAGTGACACCGAACTACCAGGCACCTGTGTCTCCCAGCAGAGCATGTTCTCAGGGCACAGGAGCCCATGGACTGGATCAAATCTGCAATGGCTGGGACCTGCCTTTTCTTCCCCAGCTGCAAGCACGGAGGCCTCTTGGAAGGAAGCAGTTTGCCCCAGTCTCCACAGACCCTGTGATCCTCTTAGGAGTGCCCCTAGGCACAGACCTGCAGTGGGGAAGTGGACAGGAGCATATGGCAGGGCAAGGGGACGTGAGCAGAAGTAGCAGCGAGGTGCATCAGTATTGCTTGCTTACTCCCTCCCTGCTAGTGGCTGCAGAGCCCACAACAGCGACCCAGATTAGTGGCTGCAGCCATCTGCTTTCCCCTCTGCGGTGATTTACCGCTCTCATTTTCCTCGGCTATGGGAGCCAAGCTTAATTAAAGATATTTTTATGGGCATTAATAACACTTGCAGTTATGCAAGCTAAGACAATGGGGCAAGGGAAATCAAAGTCGCTGCTGCAGGGCACTAGCTAATCATCTGCGGAGGGAAGTGGCTCGCCCAGCCCCCACAAAGGGCCCCTGCCTCACCATTGTTCAGGTGCTTTGTGTACGCAGGGCACAGGCAAGCTCCTTCCTCCTCAGCATCCCCAATGTGATGGCTGGACCACAGCTCTGACATATGACAGCACCTGCTGCAGCCAGGGCTCTTGTCTCCCTTTGGAGCACGCAGCAGAGGAAGGGCAGACTGGTCCTGGGGGAGTGCGAACACAGCCAGATAGAAACAGACCCAGAAGGCTGCATGGGGGCAGTGTGCTGCAGGCATGGGTGGAATTAGAGAGGGCAGAGATGAGGAGATGGTGACTGGTGCACCCCTCACCCAGAGGCAGGGTGCAAGCAGCTCAGGCATCCCCCAGGGAGAGGCTGTCCCTGAGAGGCAGGCAAGATCCTCTCTCAACATACCAGCAGCCTCCCCTCTACTCTCCCCTAGAAGAGCTCACTGGCGGGTACCATGCTCTGCTGCTGACAGGGCCTGATGGTGAGCAGAGGGCAGGATGAAGGAAAGGAACAGCCCACTCCACTTAATTTAACCCTGGCCTGGGCCTCATTCCTAATGCCAATGTTCCCCCGATAATTGATGGATCCCAGAGCGCATCACTCCCCCTTCTTCCTCCAGGCTGCCTCTGGCTCCGGAAAACACCATCCAAGGGAATTCCACCCCCAGCTGCAGGCACAGCCGAGCTGAACGAGCTGGAAACCCCCTGCACCGTCTCCGTCTAATTAAACCCTGTTAGCACTGGCTCCTCTGTGCCCCTGGGCAGGTTGGGTTACAGCTCTCCTGGCAGGGCCAGCTCCAGCGGGGGGAGGTGAGATGGAGTGATGGCAATGCATGCTGAAGCACAGAGCAAAGGCAGAGAGCAGCTCAGTATGTCACACCTGGCAGCCTGGGGCCCTGGGGAGACGTCGTCCGGGAGAGTGAGCACAGGCAGCTCCCACACTCACATGAGCTAATGCAGTCAGACTCCTTATCCCATTCACAGAGCAGGACGCTTGGGTTGGGTTTTTTTTTTACCGTCCCATAGTAAATCAGTAGCTGGGAACAGAACCCAGGAGCCTTGACTTCAAGTCTTCTGCTGTCCTTCCAGAGGTGGAAATGGTCCCAGGAGTCCTACGTTCCCAACACCTCTTTACTCTAACCATTACACAACTCTCCCTTCCCACAGTCTAGGAGAGAAACCAGGAGTCCTGGTTCTCCACCCCGTTCTTCAGCTGTCAAACCAGTTTCCCTTCCTACAAGGCTCAGGTCTATTGTGGCCCACAGCTGGGATCTATCTGGCTCCCATTGCTGCTAGCCATCAGACTCACTTTCATCTATCCTTTGAGCTTTGCCCCCAACGAACTCTTTTCCCTGGGCAGGCATGGGGCAGCTCAGTTGCACTCAGCAGGAGTAAACCTACTGAAGCTAACACAGATCCCTTGGCATAAGAGCTGGTGGGTGGGAGAAGAATCATTTACTAAGGTGCCAGGCACCGAGTGCTCTGATTCATATCTTGAACAAGAGTTTGCCAACGATATTCCCGGGGAACAAACAGAAAGGCAAAATCCCTCCGTTCTCATCAGAACTGCAGAGCTCTGGGATGGGGGCTTCTGAGTGCAGCAGTATCCCTAGAAGCCCCTTTTGCCCCTGAAGCCATGCACACAGACTCGTGCACATGTACACATACACGTGCTGTGTAGGGATCCAGACCCAGATCGGACCCATCTTTCCTCTTCATTAATTCCAGGCGCGTCTGTGAAACCTCACTGAAGGGTGGGGTGGGGAGGAAGGGTGAAAATAAGAAAAAAGAATAAGCAAGAACTTTGCTGGGAAGCAGCTGTTGAAAAATCAGAGCTGAACCTCCCTTGGGACAGCCTTTTCAAGCACGATAAAACACCTCTCTCTTCTCAGAGCCCCATGATCCTGCAGACACGATGCAAAAGAGTCCATTCATTTTTTATTTATAGTACAAATAATAATAACATAATAGTAATAAGAAGTGGAGGCAGGAGAATGCAGCTGCCTCAGGCTCTTCTTCCTCATCCCCCCAGCACACAGAAACTCCCTTGTGTTCAATCCGGGGAGCACGGCAGTGAAGTCGGATGCAAACTCAGTGTTAAAAATCGCAGCTTATTAAAAAGAGCAGAGCAAGCCTCCCAGCTCCGAGGAATCAGCCGCCTGCGCTAAACTAGCAGGATTAGCCCATTTTTTCTGGGTTGCTTCAGAATGGCAATGCTCCAAAATCCTGAATAAATAGGACACACCAGCGAGACGGACTCCAGCAGAATAATCAGCTGCTGAGGCTATGGATCTTCATGTGTCGGGGGAAGAAGCTGCTTTGTCAGGGTTGAGCGCTGACTGGAAGCCCCGCAGGAGCAATGAGAAGCAGGCCCCAGGGTCAGGCAGGCGGCTTTAGGGTTGCACTGCAGTCAAGCTAGCAGGGGCAGCACTGCATCAAAACTGTATGCAGGACACCCCAATCTGTTTTTCGGGGACTGGTCCCAAGTCTACTAAGACAGTGATTTTCCACTGCCTGCAGCAGGCTCTGAATCACTTCCCAGGTGTTGTGCCTGTAAGTCTGGGATTGCAACCTCTACATCTGGTGACTTCTCTCCTAGGGGAGGACCAGTGCTTTGAACTTCACTACAATCAAAAGGGAGCTGGTGTAGACAGCTGAGGACGCATCTTGCGAGCTTCTGTCTGCTGAGCTCACATCCGATCTTTTCCCCCACCTGACTGGTCCTCCACAAATTGCTACCGAGATCCTTTAGACTGAGATCAGCGCAATA